ATGTTAGGCCATTAAAATTGAGAACAAATTCTTTCTGCGGTTTTAGCAATTCCTGAGTGTCCTCCCACCTTAGTGTCATGGTATTCTTTAAGAATTAAAGGAATGATGCCACTATGTTGGGGTACTACCAGCCTATTCCTCCACAATAGTAAGCCATTTGTGCAACTATACTTGCTGTCCGATGACCTTGTAGGATGGGTTGGAGTGTCGCATCCTTGAGCAAGTCCTCCTTAAGTGTGGGCAGCCAATCCAATTTAGGTGTTGACCAAGCAGCAAAAAAACAACGGGATAGAGATCCGCTGCAGTATTTTGGGAACCTGGTTTATATTTGATCTCAAAGTCATATCCCATAAACTTATGCAACCACTTCTGCTGTTCAGGTGTTGACAGCGTCTGATCAAGCAAAGATTTTAAACTCTGTTGATCGGTTCTGATGATAAATCTTTTTCCTAACAAATAATGCCTGAATTTGGCAAGTGCCTCTGTAATAGGCATAAAGCTCAGAACATACGCTGACTGTTTCTGAATAATGGAAAGACATTTTCTTTGAAAATAGCAATAGGGTGTTTTGTTCTGAATAAGGACAGCACCCACACCAATTCCGGATGCATCTGTCTCGATTTCAAAAGGAACCTCAAAATTGGTATGCTAACACAGGTTCTGAAGTAATGGCTTGTTTCAAGGATAGGAAAGCTTCAGTAGCTTTTTGATTCCATTGGAAAGCATTCTTTTTAAGTAACTCAGTCAGTGGAGATGCAAGTGAAGCATACCCCTTAATGAATCTTCTGTAGTATCGGTAAGACCTAAAAATCCCCGTAATTGCTTGATGTTCCGTGGTTTGTGGCCATTCCAACACTACCTGCACCTTGTTTTATCCATGTGAACACCGTTTCCCTCAATGTGTGACCCAAATAGTTGATTTGTTGAGTACCAAATGTACATTTGGAAATTTTGCATAAAGGTGTTCTCTTTGTAGAACTTTTAACACCACTTCCAAGTGATACAAATGGGTCTTCCAAGAAGCACTGAAAACTAAAATGTCATCAAAAAACACCAAAATGAATTTCCTCAAGAAGGGCTGAAAGATGTTATTTCATTAGCATTGGAATGTAGCTGGAGCATTTGTTAACCCAAAGGGCATGACCAACCACTCATAAGTGCCCTGATGAGTTCGGAATGCTGTCTTGTGCCTATCTTCGGTTTTACCAGAAATTTGGGATAGCCGGATCGTAAATCCAATTTTAAAAATATTGAGAGCCATGTAACTCATCGAGTAATTCATCAACAGTAGGTATTGGAAAACAGTCCTTCACAGTCAAAGCATTTAGTGCTCTAATCCGTGCAAAATCTCCACGTACCGTCCTTCTTTTTAACTAATAATATTGGGGAGGAGAAAGGGCTCTTACTAGGTTGGATGATACCATCATCTAACATCTGTTGTATCATGGATTCAATTGCGCTTTCTGCACTATGTGGGTAGCGTTAAAGGCTTGATCTTTACTGGCTGAACTCCTTCTGGCAGTTGGAATGGAATGATCATGGTCTCTTGTAGGTGGTATACCCGAAGGCATTTGAAAAACCTGTGCATAATTCTGTAATATAATTACCAAATCCGATGGCAGATTTGGATGCAGCTCCAAGTTGGGCGGTTCAGGGCATTCATCCTTGGCAAGCTGTAGGGTGAAAACTGCCGCAACGGCATCATATTATAAGGTCGTTTCATATGATTGAATTGAGCGTGTCTTGGAGTCCGCGGTTTCCTCTCCTTTGATAGTGATAAATTTCCTTCATGGAGAAATTTAATGAATAAGGCGTCATAATCTACAATGTGAGCTTTAAGAGTTTTCAACCAAGTGGCTCCCAAAACGAGATCTCCTCCTGCCACATGGAGAACATAAACATCTGCAATATTGATCGAATGTCCCTGTATTGAAACTTCCAAAGACGGAAGAGACCTTCAACTTGCATTACAAATCAATTTCCCACCATGACCTGGAATCCAGGGGTGGATGCACTGGCAACTTCAAAAACTTTGCAACTCTCGGTTGAATAAAGCTATCGGAGCTTCCACCATCAATCAGCAACTTGTACCTCCATACCATGCACAAAAGCTTTTATCGAAAAGTATCCGATCCGGGTGTTCCCTTCATCGCATTCAACGAAAGATGATGTTCTAGCACCTGGTTTTCCAGTTGTTGCAGCTGCTGCTGGTCTTGTTCTTCTCGGTCCGGTTGTTCATGACGTAGCATTGGCTGCTCAAGAACTTCTTCTAATTGATATAACATGAAATGTTTGTTAGGGCACTTGTGGTGGGGGGTAAATTTTTCGTCGCACCAATAGCATAGTCCCTTGTCCCTCTTGAGTTGTTCTTCCGCTGGAGTGAGTCTATTGATTGGAGTGGCGGTGTGTTGATTTTGGGTGGTATGAGGGGGTGTGGGAAGTAATGGTGGTAGTGAAGTTCTTAGGGGTTGTTTGAGTGGAGGATTGGAAGCGGTTTTGTAATTCGGTGGACGGTATGGATTGGGTCCTGGAGGTGGTTTTGAATAAGAAGAAATTTATCTTCATAAAGTTTGGCGAGACTAACAGCACGCATCAATGAAGTTGGGCATTGAGCCTTGACTTCTCTTCTAATGTCCATGCGTAATCCACTAATGAAACAGTCGCGCAAAGCCTCAGCTGGTTCAATGTTGGTGCGATTAGCTAAGGTAATGAATTCAGTGTAGTATTCTGAAACAGTACCTTGCTGTTGGAGTTTGAAAAGAGACTCGCGTGGGGATTCAAACAAGGTGGGTCCGAACTCCGATCTCGATGGCACGTTTCATCTCGTTCCATGAACGAAAAGGCATTGTGCGTTGTTGCATCTGGAACCAAGGAATTGCTGGGCCGGACATGTGCATTCCTGCAATGGCAATTTGTTGCTCGTCTGGGATCTGATAAAACGAGAAATATTGATCTACGTTAAATATCCATCCAAGCGCATCAGAACTATCAAATCGGGGAAGATCGAAATTCATTCGTCGTGTTGGAAATGGTTGATGATTGTAGTGGGACTTCATGATAGGAGTTCGCATCATGGGTATGGTCCCGATTGGATGAAGAAGTGTGAGTAGCATTTTGGTTCTGTAAAAGCATAGCTAAAGATTGTTGAATATCATTCATCATCCGGCATTGAGTAGCCTCATTGATGCGAAGCGATTTCAGCACGATGAGGCTTCCGCATTGCCTTCCAGTAACTGATGAGAGTTTTTTAATCTCAGCTTCAGTCGTCTTCATCCTGGTACCGTCGGCCATGCTCAATGAAAAGCACCAAATGTTATGCAACAATTAAATTTAACAAACACTCTGCAATAAAACTGCAATGATTGTATATTTCTAATGAAGAAAAATTCAATACAATCATAAATGGATTTTCTAAACACTGCCACACGTTCTGATCAACTTTCTAAAAACAGAATTCCTTAACAGCGAGGCTAGCACCGTAACGCTTCATTTCATGATTAGCACTGAGAAAAGAATGTAAGGTTTAGAGGATTTGTTACAGGAGAGAGAATGGAGAATCTAAGAGGAGGAATTGTACCACAGATTTTTCATGCCCCTCCCAAGTCCTGTAACCTCATATTGACATTTCTTTCTGTTGCTCGTTCTTGGTTTTTGATTTCGTAATTGTTTGCCAGCTGTCCCCTTCCAGTAACTAACTCTGGATTTGTCTCCTTGTGCATTATATCTTCCATATGGCCATCCATTTCAGCATTTGCATCAGTAGGGACCTCAACATTATTTTTCTCTCTAACAGGTGACACTTGTTGATGTTCCTGGTAGATCATCGATTTTTCTCTTGAATCTTGAATTGTTGTTGATTCTGTATTTAGGTGTATTTTATAGTTATGCTTTTGGTTTCTTTCTTTCTCAAGGGTGTAGTGTAGCTGTAGATAACATAATTTTAGTGACTATAGTGATAGAGATGCTAGCGTGGCTAAAATAAACTTTTATTTGTTTGGCATATTGTATGGAAGGAATATTGACAAATACCGCACAATCCGTCTTCATAGCTTACTATTTTGGCTGTTGAAAGTATTAACATTTTGTACTTCAAGACTGTCTACAGGTGAGTTGCTGTATGAACAACTCATTAATAGGCTTTCAAAACATCAGAAGTACTAATGTTCAAAATGTTTTCTTTTTGGTTAATCCTTTGGCTTCCATTGGATAGAATTGATCTAATCATAAAGCAGTCAAGTTTCTACTTTCTCGTTTTTTTTACATTTCTTTTAGATCTGTTTTAATTGTTTTATGGGAAAGTAAACTTTAATAATCTGTAAAATATAATGAATTAATGCAATGAGTTTATCATCATAACTCACAATTTGAATACATTCCATGATACAACATTTTGTTTTTGATAGCTTTCTAATTTGTTGCCAGAGAGTGTAAGTTTCCTGTGAAATTGCTTTCTGTCTATCAAATTTAACCAATTCCTCTTGAAGTGTTTCTTTTCCGTTGAACCATAAAATTTATCTAAAAGAATTAGGAAATTAAATTCATGACCAACAGAATTACCATTATCAGATGATTGTAAATTGATGGTGATTTACTGTCATGAATTGATAAAGCTCCTGTGGTACTGTATTTCACAGAATCAGAAAGGATCATCAGCCATATCTGGACATGGCATGCTTACATATTACTTTTTGAGATGTGCTTGATGCCAAATATTTTAATGCTATATTTTCTACGTGATTGTTAGAATCAACAGATATGCAGAAGGTAGAACTGCCCTTTCTGTAAAAAATGTGAAGTGGCTGGTTCTTACTTTCTCAATGAATCCAATGACTTGTTTTTATGTTTATTTTCTTTTTTGTGTGTTAAATTTTGCATATACTTTTTCTTTATAAGCCCACTCTGTAACAAAACTCCGTACCTCTGTCAAATATGAACACAATTATGTAATGTTCCCTTTCTACACTATTTTGAAAGATTTGATATTCTTTTCTTCTTGCTAGGTCTCACTTGATGCAGCAAAAGTTATAAATGTAACTCCTAGATATGCCCGTTTACGGGCAGGTGCAAATGGCTCTGCAAAAGGAGAAATTATTGGGTGGGAGAACATAGAACTTATCAGTGATAGGCCACTTGAAACCATGTTGAAAGAATTCAAGCAATTGAAAGAAGAGTATCCAGACAGAATTCTGATTGCTTCAATCATGGAGGAGTACAATAAGGCTGCTTGGGAGGAGCTTATCGATCGAGTCGAGCAAACTGGAGTTGTAAGATGTGTTTCATGACTGAGTTTGTGACACTTGATGTTTTTCCAACTTGAAATGTCTGGTGGCTGACCTCTCTGATATTGCTGCTATAGGATGCAATCGAAATAAATTTCTCATGTCCTCACGGTATGCCAGAACGCAAAATGGGTGCTGCTGTTGGCCAAGATTGTGCTCTTCTGGAAGAGGTTTGTGGATGGATAAATGCTAAAGCCACAATTCCTGTTTGGGCTAAGATGACTCCCAATATAACTGATATTTCACAGGTTGGCTTTGGATCTTGTCCTTTTGTTATATGTATACTCTTAACTATAATACTATATTCTCATGTTTAAGTGAAAACCTGAATACCTATCAAATTTGTGAATTACCATTGAAATTTTGTATTGTTTGTTTTTTTTGATGTTGTAATACTTCATGATACTTTACTGATACTTATCAATGAAGTATCTCTAATCTATAGAGCAGTAATACTTTATGATGACGATAATTTATAATTTTTTTTGTTAACATTTATTACATTTCATTTTAGTTTGTATTCCCAATAACAATCATATATTTATAAGTTTTTAAGAGAATTTTGTATATTTTTCAATATGCATATATCATGTGTCGTATCTTATTATTTTCACAATAAGTGTATGGATGTATCGGATACTAGTCTTATCCGTGTATCATATTGGAATAATAGATCCATTGCACCATACACCATGCACTATGCACATTATAGCCATGACTACCATGCTAATAATTTTGGGGTTGATTTTTCTTATAGCCAGCAAGGGTTTCTCTAAGTTCAGGATGTGAGGGAGTATCTGCCATAAATACAATCATGAGTGTCATGGGAATCAATCTCAATACATTACGTCCAGAGCCTTGTGTTGAGGGGTTTGCAATCTCACTTACCACATATTCATAGTTTTGCCTTGGTTTTTCAACCATCTCATGTACCTAATCTGTCTAAATTTCGTTGTTAGGTACTCAACTCCTGGGGGGTATTCTGCAAAGGCAGTCCATCCCATAGCACTTGGGAAGGTGATGACAATTGCAAAGATGATGAAGTCAGAGTTTGACAGTGAGAACTATTCACTTTCTGCCATTGGTGGTGTTGAGACAGGCGGAGATGCAGCTGAATTTATTCTTCTTGGGGCAAACACTGTTCAGGTACAATCAACAAACACTGTTTTAGGTCTAGTGTCAAACACTCACAATAGGTTTCTCCTTGTTTAGTGGAAAACACGAGTTCCAAATAAGTTCATGTTAAACATCGTTGTCATTACATTAAGATTTTATGAAAAAAAAAGGAAAGAATAACATGAGAGGACCACGCAAACACATGATAAAATTACATCGCACATGTAGGCAAAAACAAATATCTATCATGAAAAAAACCCATGATTTCCTTCAGGAGAATCATTCCATACTTTGATCTCAATATACCAGGAAAAAGACAAATCCAAGCACACTATATAGATGTTTTCTTTTATGTGTATTAATTTAAATACATTAACAATGTAAAAGTTGTTTACATTATCATCCAATTATAGATTACCATGTATAAGATTCTGAAATTTCTTACACTGTCAGTACATAGAAATCAGACTCTCTTCATTTAATTGTAGGTGTGCACTGGGGTTATGATGCATGGCTATGGTCTTGTGAAGAAACTATGTCTTGAGCTTAAAGACTTCATGAAAAAGCACAATTTCACAACAATAGAAAACTTCAGAGGGTACAGTTTTGATCTGATATGGTTTCCCTCTTCCAATATCCTAAAAAACAGAAAAAAAATGCATGTTTGACTTTTTACCATGAAAAATGCATATTCTAATTTTATTTAAAATCACAGGGTTTCTCTTGAGTACTTTACTACTCACACTGAGTTGGTGAGAAGGCAGCAAGAAGCAATTCAGAAGAGAAAAGCCATAAAGAAAGGCTTGCAATCTGACAAAGACTGGACTGGAGATGGTTTTGTGAAAGAAAGTGAAAGTATGGTATCTAACTGAAATCTTCAGCCAAATCAAGCATCATGCAACCTTTCTTTTACAATTTTTCATTATCATGCAAATGAGGAGGTGAAGCACATTATCCTTTGTTATTAATCATGGATATTTATCTTCCCAAGAACATTAGAATGTATTATGTCAGAAAATAAAGGAAGTATTTTTAACAAAATTCTGGGAAGATTATCATAAACCTTTACTTGGGTCAGCATTCTCTTGCCAACATACATTATCTTTATGTTACTTTGGTATACTCTAATAGAATGAAGTGCTAAAAAATAGCTGTCCACTTTTAATATTGACTGTGACATGAGAAAATATAATCTGGCTAAATTCTTCAGATATATATTTTTTATAAATGAGAACAATATTCTTCAAACTTTGAGCTCAAACAGTTCAGTTCTAAGCATTTATGTATCCTTAGGCCTGTTCAAGTTTTTCTTTTCAATTTTAAAAAATAAATTTCAATTTTTCATAGTCTGCACAGGGAACAATGGTGTAGCAATTGACCAGTCAATTCAAATAATGATTACTCTTCATTTTAGGGGGAAAAAGTGTGAAGATGTTTCTATTCTTACTCAACCTTATGATGTTCTCTAACATGAGGACAATGCTGCATTCCATAATTCTGCTATCTTTTGTTATAACATTTTTAGACAATTTGCTTAGAAATATTGGATTTAAGATGACATTTTTACCAATTATATAACTATTATTATTAATTTAAATCTTAATCTTTTATTTTTCCAGCGATATACTGTAATTCTTTAATATTATATTTTACAAGAAATATATCAAATTATATATTTTAGAGTATAATTTTAAATTGATTATGTTGTGTTATAAAAGGGGCACGTTGATAATTTCTTATAGAGAAAAGAATTATCGGTAAAGAAAGAAAAATCCTTTTTTTTATTCTTAGGACCAGAATAGTGTTTTGTTTTCTCCTCTGTTGTTTTTCTAACATAAAGAAAGAAAAAGGTAAGAAGAATATGTTTTAACTTGATTATTTTTGCTTTTCTGCTTCTTGTTTGTCTTATATGTTTTCCTTTTTCTATTATTTTTTTTGTAGATGCTTGGTTTTCTTTTTTAGTAGAAATAATAAATAAATTGTAAAATAGAAGAAGATTTTGAATTTTGTTTTGAACCATTTAAAAACTAAAAAAAAATTGAGATTTTTAATTTCAATTTTTTTTCGCTATAATTTAATAAGCTATAATTCTTTTTATGTTAACATTCAATTCAAGTATCATTTCACAAGCAAATAAATTCTAAATATTCTTTGTTATGAAACTTCTCCAAACATTAACCAATATCATTGCTAAATTTGTCAAGATAAGACTTAATACCTCTATTGACAAATTTACAACAGCTAAGCATAAGATTTACATTCAGGGTTTTTTCAGAATGTAAATAGTTTGAGTCAACAAAGCCGAAAGTATAAAAGCAAATAGTAAAAAAGGTTCCAAGAAAACTCTATCTTGTACACATATCTTTTTAAGAGACTTATTTGTGATTAGGTTCAAAATTCTTTGATTTGATTACTCTTAGTGAGAGAGAAATAATCATTAAAACATTACATATAGCATTAATTTCAATAGAAATAAAATTAATACATGCCCAATTAAAAGTATACAATGTTGTGAGAATTTCAAATTTAATTAAGTCTATATTTTATAGTTTAAGTTTATAAAATCAATTTTATACTCTTTACTCCATAATATCATCATTTTCACAGTACATGCTCCTTTATTAAAAGGACTTGTTGTGATAAATTAAATTATGTTGAGTAGGTAATATTTCTATGATTAACACATGAGACATTAAATAATTTATTCTCAATATTTTAGTCCACTTTTTTTTTTTTTTACTTTAATCGCTTTTGAATTTTTGCATTGTCAACAGAGGCACAATATGGATTGGTCTAGATCACGTACATGATAATTCTAATTAGTATTTTTCTTTAAGTTTAATCAGTTATTTAATCTCAATTTTGGTTAAATAGGTTTCTGTTTCTTTTTCAATTAATTTTTAATTTTTTTGAAAATTGATTTAATTAGGTTCTTTCAATTAAAATAATCATTATAAATAAAGAGATAAAAAAATCGACATCACGTGAACCCATGGAGTTCTTCTCCAGGTCTTGGAGTCTTTCTGCCTCGGAAATCTCAAAGGCTCCCATACGATGTGCATTATTTCCAATTATTCTCTCTCTTGGAACAAGCCTCTCCCTTCATCGACGTAAACCGATCAAAGATCGAGACTTTCCTATCCCTGCTTCACAAAATCCCAGAAATTACAGAACCTCTAAAGTACAAGAAGTCGGAAGAAAAATTAGGGTTCCAGGAGAACGAACTTATGTTCTTCCACCAATTCTTTATGTCTTTCTCTTTCTTGCGATCAAATCTCAATTTCATAACGACGATGAATGGAAGAGCACAACTAGTGAAATGCAACCAGGACACGACTGAGGTTGATGATAGTTTTCTAAAATTTAAAATAATTAAATTACACGTAACTCAGTCACGTCATTAAAACTTTTTCTTTATTATAAGTTTTATGTAGTACATTTCCCACATACATATAGTTCCAATATTAGTTAATTTAATCTTAAATTCTTTAATAATTACAATAATATTTCTAATTAAATAATAAAATTACTAATATTTGAAATAGTACTAATTAACACTTTTGGAGTTATAATAATTGGGAACTAGATAAACAAATGACAATATTACCGAGCTTATAATTTAGTATAGGTGTACTTATAACTGATTTGAAGAAATAATCTCTTCGTTCTTGTAAAAACTGTTTTTATTTTTAAAGAAGTTGTTATTTTTCAAAAAAAAAATAATTATCACCAGACATATCATTACTAAATTAATTAGTTTTCTTTATAGACCTAGTTATAAATTAATAAAGTAAAATAATAATAAAAAGGATAAAAAAATCCTAGCAATATTTTCATGGTAATTTCTAACAATGAATAACTGTTGTTTAATTCATTTACACTTTGGTTAAGATACTCGTTAAAAACAACATTACGGTCGTGTATACTAATGTTATGATCTGAATTGTTTGCAATTTTTTTTAATAAAAATTCTTTACTAAAGTAAATGTCTCATCTGGTATAGACGAACCTTGATATCTCTAAACTACATTCATATTTTTATGGAAAATCTAAAAAGAAATAAACCGACACTAGATTCTAATAAACCTCAATAATATCTATACATAATAATAACTGTTAGTTTTTATATATTTATGTGAGGTAGAGTTTAATTAAGGAGGGATATGATAATAATTGAAGGCTTAATTAATAAGCTAGCTATTTATAGGTGGGAAATATATAATAATATAAAAGTGTGATGCATGCATGAAAAAGTAAATGTTTGCTAATTTAATTGAGAATTTGGCAGTGACTGGAAGAAGCAGAAGGTGGTGCAGGCTCAAAAGAAGGTGAAGGCAAAGTTGGGTCACTGATCTCTCTAAGTTTGAGAATGCATGTTGTTTATGAAAGCCATGGACTTCTGTTGTGGTCCCCATTGCTTTTTAAGCTTCCCAAGTGCCAAGCAATATGCTTCCTGCATCCATCGACATTTTACACACTCAGAGTTGGTAATGAGCAATGCTTACCTAAAGTGTATATATATATTGTATCTAAAGTGTTTGAAGAATGATAAAAGTTTGGAGAAGTATAATGTAGTTGAAGTGTGGGGTCTATATGTCTTCCTAAAAATGAGCATTCAAAGAACGGTGTGCAGTCCATTCAAGGAGTAAACAAAGTGATACTACTTGTGGCATAAGTTTTTTTCACAAAACTCATCCCATAACTTTTCTCACTATTATTCAATGCAACCATTGCATTCCACATTTATGATACTTTGGATTATCAACACTCTTCGGATACTGCTACCTTCACCTCCATTTTTTTCTCTATTCAAAGTTTTACCCATTAGACCTAAACACCTTCAAAAGTTTATCATTACTTTCATCTTGTGTAAAAATCCTGGTTTTAATCTTATATTCATCCATTTTCTCTCGTTCTTTCTATTAACTAATACTGTAAAGGTAAGTACATATAAATCTAAGCCTGAAACATAGACGAGTGTGAGAAGTTCAGGGAAAATAAATCTTTACGAAGTTTTGATGAGAAAATATTAAGTGGTGGTTTAGACATTATACGGTGAGTAAAGCATACTCTAATGAGCTTTGCGGCCTAAAGTAAAATGTGAAAAGATAGCATCTTAACACTGGCCAGCACAACCAAGAGAGATAGAAAAAGTGTCACAGTCATGGAATTGGAACAAAAACTATGAGCATTTCTTGAGTGGTCCCTTCTTCAAGCAGGAAACATTGCTTTAGGCAACCATGAAGTGTCCATCAAAATTAACATAATTCAGTTCCCACATGATGTGTTAGGTTATATATTTGACTGACTTTTTAGTACGGTACTTCATCATCATATCCAATAAAAGCATTCATACACACATACATTGATGTTTGGGTAAACCAAGCCAACAGGTGAGGAAGTGAGAGAGCGTGTTGTGTTAGTCTTACCATGAAGAGATCGAGCTCGGATTGGCTGAACATGCCCAAGTTTTTGCTTCTTCCGTGCTTGCATCTAATCTATCTTCAGCTCTCTCTGCAGGTTGGAAATGTCACCGACCTGAACAAAAGTTCTAAAACCATTATCTTTAAAGGTTCGTGCTTAAATTAAAAGAACGAAGATCCTTTGATCTTCCTGATATCTTCTGTACACAATGTGCAGCAACAAGTTAATCGGTCCACTGTTTATCAATCGGTAAAGCGGTTGATGATAAGAAAAACTTCACTTTCAAGAAAGGTCAGTATTCGTTTCAAATGATGTGGACAAGCTTTTGGTTTTCTATGTGAACTGCTTCACCCACCAACACACACAAAAAGACATGCATGACCAACGACTCACACATAATCTACCCACTCATCACCGATAAATGTTAAATCTGCTGGGTTTGGATTTGGGGAGTAAACTTACTTTTTCCACTTTTTATCGGACCTTTAAATCATTCGTATAATCACACAACTTTTAAATTCATTTAATTATAAAATTACCAGTTTGGCCACACCGGAGTTGAACTTCAGCCTGCAGTATATATATATACGAATCTGCTCCATCACTGTGTTATATTG